TTATATATACTTATATATATATACACCTCCTAAAGCTCAATAATAGAAAGGCAAGGGGCACCAGACTCACTCGGTGGGCAGAGCACACGACTCTTCATCTCAAGGTCATGAGTTCAAGCCCCACGTTGGGTGTGAAGCCTACTCAAAAAAAAAAAATAATAATAATAATAGAAAGGCAAGCATCTATGGGCATCCTAATGTATAAAATGGATAAAAGATATGAATAGATATTTCACCAAAGATATGCAAATGGATAATACCCCCAAGAAAAGATGCTCAGCATCATTATTCACTAGAGAAATGCAAATCACCACCGTGATGAGATACCACTTGGCTCTCATTTAGGATGGATATAACCAAAAAGACAGGCAATAACAAGTGTTGGAGAGGATGTATAGAAATTGGAACGTTTATATATTGACGGTAAGAATATAAAATAATGCAGCCACTTTAGAAAACAGTTTGTCAGTCCACAAAATGTTAAGCATGGAGTTATTACCATATGACCCAGTGATTCCACTACCTGTATACCCAGGAGAAATGAAAACATCCACACAAAAATTTATACACACATGTTCACAGCAGCATTATTCATAATTGCCAAAAAGTGGAAACAACCCAAATGTCCATCAACTGTTGAATAGACACACAAAATGTGGTCTATCCATACAATAGAATACTATTCCACAATAAAAAGGACCAAAGTATTGGTACATGCTACATGTGAATGAACCTTTAAAATATTATTCTAAATGAAAAAGACAGTCACAAAAGATCATATTTGGAATGATTCCAATGATATGAAATGTGAAAAATAGGGAGACAGAAAGTTAATGGTTGCCTAGGGTTGGGGAGGTTGAAGGGAATGGGGAGGGACTGCTAATGGGTACAGAGTTTTTTCCTGGGATGATAAAAAAGCTCTAAATTTAAATTATGGTGATAGCTCTATAAATCTATAAATATGCTAAAATATTGAATTATATATACAGTTTAAGTAAGTGAGTTTTGCGGTACGTGAATTGTATCTCGAGAGAGAGTTGTTTAAAAATAAACATAAGGGGCGCCTGGGTGGCTCAGTTGGCTAAGTGTCCAACTCTTGATTTCAGCTCGGTCTCATGGTTGTGAGATGGAGCCCCATGTCAGGCTCTGCACTGGGTGCGGAGCCTGCTTGAGATTCTCTTCTCCCTCTGCTCCTCCCCCCACCCACTCACATACACGTACTCTCTCTCTCTCTAAAGAAATAAAATAAAATAAACATGAGATACTACTTCACAACCACTAGGATGCCTATATTCAAAAACCCAGACATGTTGATAAGGATGTGGAGAAACAGGACTGCATGCATTTACCTAAACTCACAGAACTATACACTTTTTTAAAGGGTGAGTTTTACTGAATGTAAAATTGTACTTTGCTGTATGTAAATTACACCTTAATTTTTTTTAAAGAAAAAGAACATATAACATCATTGAAAAAAATCCACTGGAAACGTCAGTTAGTATACCCGGTATTATTCCTACAGGATACTTTGTATTATTCCTATCCTAGTTATTTTATGATGTTTGACTTTGGATTATTCTTCCTGGATATTTCCAAAAAATTGTTGACCCCCTGAAGAAGTTCTGCTTGCCCCAAAGTCATGATTTTCCACATTCATTGAAAGTCATTTGCTACCAATACTGCCCAGAAATAATTGCAGAAGATGAGCTGCTTCTCAGTCTCCAGATTGCCAGGCTAGAAGGACTGTTTGCCATTTATAACATGTGTTGGTTCTTCTTAATAATTGTTTTTATTCTTAAAAAAATAATTATTATTATTTTTATTCTTTCATGTCCTGATAAAGAAAAAAAATGGTGGGGTTTTTTTTCCTCACCTGTTTTCTAGGTATCTCTCTTTAGCCATTCTAGAAAACATCATCCTATAGACTTCCATCTTTTCTGTCCTTTTTAATGATTATCTTAATTCCATACTCTTGCTTCCTTTTCATTCTCTTGTAGAAAAATGCAAACACAATGCCTAGAACAATAGTAATTGCCAAAAAGCCCAGGAATATAAAGTGCATAAAGAGAAACCTTACTTTCTAGTAATGAATGAGAAGCTTCCCCTTCTTTTCTCCCATAGAAATGCTCTTCTCTTTTAAGACATTCAGACAGCTGATCAAAATAGCAGATTCTGTTCTAAGAAATCTAGCTCTAATTCTGTTGCTTGTACTTTTGAGCTATAAAAGCCAGAAAGATAACAAATGCACCATTTAGTGCTCAACTGTTTTGTTATTTGTCAATGCTATTTAATATCATTATTTAGCTACTGTTTGGCCAAAAATAAATGCCCTTTCCATAAAATGCTTTATGCAGACTTTCCTTTAGTTTTTGTTACCTTTTATTGTTTTTGCATCATGAAATTAGTAAATTCCTTGGGCAATGAGAACATACGGTTAAAATCCATCCTGCATCGAATAGGAGACGTTAATTCTAAGAGTCAGATACAACCTTGTGTCTTATTTCGCCAATATGACATTTTTGCAGCTCCTCCTTAAACTAAGGCAAGGAACCACAGCCTGAGATATTCGGAGCAGCACTGGATTTGGATTCTGAGTCACCCCACCATCTACTTCCATTAGAAAACAAAGGCATTCCCCCCAAGAGACGGCTGATGTCCTTTCTAACTTCTCTCATGCTGCCAATTTGATCAGCCCTGTCCCATCCCTGTACCTGTCATCTTGCCTCTAACTCACGGAAAGCCAAATGCAGTGAAATGGTCTTAAAATGAGCTTAGGAAGACTAGTTCTCAATTAGCGAAAGGGTTTCTAGGAGCCGCACAGATTCATCAGGAGTTGGATGTACAATAAAAAGTCTTCATTATCCTGGTGATCTCCCACATCAGAGACTGACGCCTATTCACCAGCTTCGGTCTCTGCTGCCAGAGCCCAGTGGCTGCAGTCTGATAAGCTGGAGAGAGAAAGGAGTAGGGTCTGAGTTAGCATAGCTGATATTTATTGAATATTTATACCTGACACCGTGCTATTTGCTCTGTCTCATCATCACATATAATCATCACAACAGCTCTGAGGGTGGATATTATTATCTCCATTCTACAGATGAGGAAAACTGAGGCTCGGGGATGTTGGCTACCACATACTGGGAACAGCAGGTGCAGCTTGGCACCCAGGTCTCCCTGTATCCAAGCCGTCCCTCTTAACCACACCACCAAACCACCCTTCTTCAATTTCTGTTTTTTCTGCCTATAGAGCCATTCAAACTCTAAATATAAGTGTTGTTTTAAAGTAGTCACTGCTGTAGAACTCCCTCGAAGAATCAGCCTATTTATTGGGGATAACAGCATTCAGTCAGCATCTTCAGAGTCTCTGAAAATGTTTCATTCCAAATCTTACCCAAAAAAATAGGTCATCAAGGAGAGTTCTATTCAAATAGGGCACTCCTGTGCAGCACCCTTATTTCATTTTTTCTAGGAGAATCAGTGGAAAACATGCTAGTAAAATCACCTAAGTATGTAGATTGACTGATTTATTCAGCAAATAGGTATTGAGAGTCTACCAAATACCGGGCTATATTCTGTGTATTAGGGAGACCATAGTGATCAGAGCAGTGATTCTGCTCACATGGACTTTCTTTCTTTCTTTCTTTTAAGATTTCATTTATTTGAGAGATGAAAGAGAGTAAGCAAGAGAGCAGGAGGGGGGATGGGCAGAGGGGGGAGGGAGAGGGAGAAGCAGACTCTTCACTGAGCAGGGAGCCCAACACAGGGCTGGATCCCAGGACCCTAGGATCATGACCTGAGCCGAAGTCAGATGCTTAACCGACTGAGCCCCCCACGCTCCCCCATAGACTTCCTTTCTGATGGGGAACAGTGAATCTTTGCTCCATGAGGACAGGATAAACTAGTTCAGCTAGCCAGGCTCTAGAGCAGACATGACCATCAAAACAAAAATAGCTCCCAACTATGATTTTAAGTTACTGGAAACCAAGCTATTACTTATAAATCACAAAAGGTATTTAAAAACGAGTTTATTGGGGCACCTGGGTGGCTTAGTCAGTTGGGCCGCTGCCTTCGGCTCAGGTCACGATCCCAGGGTCCTGGGATCGAGCCCCGTGTCCGGCTCCCTGCTCAGTGGAGAGCCTGCTTCTCCCTCTCCCTCTGCCTGCCACTCTGCCTACTTGTGCTATCTCTCTGTCAAATAAATAAATAAGATATTTTTAAAAATAAATAAATAAAATGAAATAAATAAAAATGAGTTTATTCTATTCCCTAAAAACCCTTATTCTTACATGCTACTCTGGCCCTTTGAATTTTTTTTCAAAAATGATGAATGTCATCGAGTAGGCTGTTGAAAACCAAATTGAAAGCATTATCTTAAAAGTTTTCAGAACTGCAGTTTGCCAGCTCCAGAAAATACATAAAGCTTTTAAAAGTCCCAAGAAGACTCTTAAAAAAGTTGCTCAAGAGAATGGAGAAGCCTCCATCTGAGGCTAGACCAACTGTCCAAAATAGACTTCATCAGTGTTAAAAGGCAAAGACCAAAATAAAACATAATAACCATCCCCTATTGCTTTTCACTAATGTTGTGCTTTTTGCAAAGGATTTTTCCACAAATGATCTTCTTAGTCCTCCCGGCCACCTTGTAAAGTAGGTATTATCATCCCCACTATAAGGATAAGAAAGCAAGGGATCAAAGACAGTACATGATTGGTTAACTTAACAACAGGTCAAGTTCTTAATAAATGCCAGAGCCAGGCCTTGGACTTGTGATTCCCTAATTGCTGGTTTCTCCACAGCTGCCTTGCTGATTTACAGTCATATATTACCAAACCTCAAAACACCCCAAATCAAGTTTCCAATGGAAATAGTAGTCTAAAAGTGTTTAAGAGTGGGTTACAGACACTAGGAGACGTCAAAGAAAAAATGGGAACACTGGGTGTCCGTCCTTAACGTTCAATTGTTAATCCAAAGGCAAATCTGTGACAGGATTTGGTGCCACTGCCAGGCACTGGCCCCTGGAGCCAATGGCCAGTTGGCTTTTAGAACTCCCTTCTTCTGGGGCGCCTGGGTGGCTCAGTCGGTTGGGCGACTGCCTTCGGCTCAGGTCATGATCCTGGAGTCCCGGGATCGAGTCCCGCATCGGGCTCCCTGCTCGGCAGGGAGTCTGCTTCTCCCTCTGACCCTCCCCCCTCTCATGTGCTCTCTCTCATTCTCTCTCTCTCAAATAAATAAATAAAATCTTTTAAAAAAAAAAAAAAAGAACTCCCTTCTTCTGCCTCCCTTGCTCAGTCTTAACAGACATCATATAGAGACGGCATTCAAGCCCCCTATAGCTCTTTCCTGAAATTATCTGTTTAATCCTCATGTGAACATTCCTGGTCTCTTGGGTCTCAATATGATTAGCGTATGAACTCCTCTATGGCACTGATTGTCGCTCACTCTTCTTTATCATCTCAGCCTTCCGCATAGTGGAGGGATTATTTTAAAGGGAGTTGTGGGGCACCTGGGTGGCGCAGTCGGTTAAGCATCTGACTCTTGGTTTCTCTCAGCTCCGGTCATGTTCTCAGGGCCCTGATCTCAGGGTCCTGAGATGGAGCCCCATGTCGGACTCCATGCTCAGCAGGGAGTCTGCTTAAGATTCTCTCTCCCTCTCCCTGCCCTTCCCACTTAGGCATGCGCTCTCGCTTTCTCTCTCTCTCAAATAAATAAATAAATCTTTTTTCAAAGAAAGGGAGTTACATGGAAATGTTTGTGGGTTTGTTGGTTTTGTGACTTCAGAAACTCTTATGTGTCCCTGTCATTCCTTTTAGGTTGGAGAGACAATTGGCATTAGTGAAGAGATTATGGGTCTGACCATCTTGGCTGCTGGGACCTCCATCCCTGATCTTATCACCAGTGTCATAGTGGCCCGGAAAGGGCTCGGGGACATGGCTGTGTCCAGCTCCGTTGGAAGCAACATTTTTGACATCACTGTAGGGTGAGTAGAGACAGTTCTGTGAAGGTGCACACTCCAGCTCTATCACTGTCTTTGTCTTCTGAGAGGCTGTGAAGACACGACCAGGATCTCTGAGCCCAAAATTAACCAATACCAATAGAAAGTAAACATTGGGAGTACCATTCAAGTTCACTGACTCCATTTTTCATTTTCAGAGAACTTAATGAAAAATAAGCTACCCCTAGGTAGGCAGAAACACACACCTGCATACAGAGTGGCTACTGTAGGAAATACGTTAAGAATTTCGCTTATATAATGGCGTTGGCTACAAGTTAAGAATATTCAGTATTCAGGTATGATGGAGATGCTGTACAGTTTTCCTGTATTTTTTTTCCATATTCTAATTCTAATTAAAGTCCCCACCAGCCTCGGGTGAGATTTTGGATCATAAAACAGATTGGAACAAACATAGGCCCAGCAAAAATATCCCATCTCCTTCCTTGGAAAAGGCTGGTAGGTTTGGCATTATCATTTATGTATGCTGGTAAAGATATTCTAGGTTTTTTGAAAGTCAGAAGACAAGATCTATTCTTACAGTTAAGCAAACTGGAGTTCTCAATATGAATAATCTCTAAAGTGGATCAGACTGGGGTGGGATGCTATTATTTCTGTCATTGCATTTAACTTGTCAGAAGTAAAAGTGTCTGATAAATAACCCTGAATGAGAACCCCTGAGAAAGTAAGACATGGGATGTGATCCTATGTTCCCAGAACTGAGCTCTTGACACTTGAATTTAGAAACTCACTAAAATGGATTGACTTTCGCATTGAACATCCTGAATATTAGTCTCTCTTATACCTTTGCATTACCTATGTTTTCTCAATCAGTGTCTACTTTGTGTACTCTATGTACATTTTTATCCATTTAAGCCACACAATGATCCTATGACATATGTATTATGATCCCCACTTTTCAGGTAAGGAAACAGAAAGGCACAGAGTTCACAAAACTAGTAAGTGAGATAGCTGGGATTTGGACAGAGTCTGTGTTCTCCACCACAACACTCTGCATAAAACCCTGCCCTGAGCTCCCACCATCTTAACCATCTTTGAATTCCAAAGGTTCCCTCTCCTGCCATATTTCCTTCCTTCACAGGCCCCTCTCACTCAAGATTCCTCCCTGCTTGTCTGTCTGGAAAACTCCAACTTACCCTACCAATGTCAAATCCCAGCTTCCCTGATGCCCTTGGGCCTGACTGGGGATTCTTGTTCCTGGGTCCTCTCTGCAGATCATACTCTTGTCATGGTCATATTTATCAGTCTGCCCACTAGACTGTGAACTGCTCAAGAGCAGCTCCCCGAAGCCTCATACAATGCCTAATGCATGGTGGTGCCTCGACAAATGTTTGCAGACTGAATGAATGAATGTATGAATGAATGCCTTAAAGGGTACCTGTTTTAAAGGAAGGCTGTCTCTAGTAGAAACAGTATTTCTCAGTTGCACTGCCTACACATTTAGAGTAGTTTTTGTGGTCAATCTCCTGTAAAAAGGAAAATAAAATGTGCTATAGTATAAAGAGAGAAAATCCTACAAGTTGGGGAAAATTATAAGACCTACTTGTCATGTTTTTGAAAAATAAATATTCTAGGGAATTGCAAGGTGCTTTTTGTTCACTGTTCTTAAATTATATATATAGTCACAGGTTAAATGAAAGTGTAAAGAAAAATAACCTCTAACCCTACTACCCAAAAGCAACATTTAATTTTTGTATGTTCTCTTCCAAATATTTCACAAAGTTTTCTTCGTGAATATTCAGTTTTGTCCTTTCGGAGGGCTTTTATTTTTCCATTTTAAAGCCATTTATGCCTGGGTGCCTGGGTGGCTCAGTTGGTTAAGCGACTGCCTTCGGCTCAGGTCATGATCCTGGAGTCCCGGGATCGAGTCCCACGTCAGGCTCCCTGCTCAGCAGGGAGTCTGCCTCTCTCTCTGACCCTCCCCCCTCTCATGCTCTCTATCTCATTCTCTCTCTCAAATAAATAAATAAAATCTTTAAAAAAAAAAAAGCCATTTATGCCTGGCACAATGTAGACATCTATTAGTTAGTAAATCAACTATTTTTCTGAGTTTCTTTTAGTTCTCATAATTAACAGTTTATCACTTCAAAATATTTCATCCTGTTGCTTTTCAGCTGAGCCACAATTTGTTTTTTTACTCTTTCCAATTTTTGGCAGTTATGGGTACTTTGATGAAGACCTTTATGCAGAAAACCTCATCTTTTAATTATTTTTATTAGGATAAATTCCTTCAAGACTTATTAAAGATTATGAGCATTTTAATGGCTTTTGATGTATACTTTTCAAAAAGTTTATACCAGTTGATGAACTTGTTAGCAATATATGGAGTATAAAAGCTATTTCATAGTCTTGCTGGCTTTTTCCTTTTGCTTATAATATTAATACATACTCATGGTAAAAGATTTAGAAAATACATATAAAGCATAAATAAAAATCAATGATAATCCACCACCCTGTTTTAGTTCATATGGTTTATATTATTGAAATTACATTGCTATTTTTATGTTCATCCTTCATTTCTTTTTTTTTTTTTAAAGATTTTATTTATTTATTTTGAGAGAGAGAGAGAATGAGAGAGAGCACATGAGAGGGGTTAGGGTCAGAGGGAGAAGCAGACTCCCTGCCGAGCAGGGAGCCGGATGCGGGACTCGATCCCGGGACTCCAGGATCATGACGTGAGCCGAAGGCAGTCGCTTAACCAACTGAGCCACCCAGGCGCCCCGTTCATCCTTCATTTCAACTATAGAATTACATCATGAGTATTTGCCTATATCATTATAAGCTTATGATTTTTAATGGCTACATAACATTACCTCGACTTAGTATTTTGCTACTTAACTAGTTTTTTCTTATCAGAGATTAAGGTATCCCCAATTTTTCACTACTCAAAGTAATACTGAAATGATCATTTTTCTGAATAAAGTTATATTTGCAAGTATTATATATATATCAAATATATTTTTTTATTTATTTATTTGAGAAAGAGAGTGAGTGAGCGTGGGCAGGGGAGAGGCAGAGGAAGAGGGGGAGAGAGAGAGGCAATCCCAAGCAGGCTCCACATACAGAGCGGAGCCGGACCTGGGGCTCGACCTCACAACCCTGAGATCATGACCCCAGCCGAAATCAAGAGTCAGACACTTATTCGGCTGAGCCACCCAGGCACCCCAACATTTCAGATATTTCTTATGTTGATCCCTGACAATAGAATTGATAGATCTAAAGGTGTGAAAAAATGTAATTTTTCCTACAAAGGGTTTTTACCTATTTGTTGTGCCATCAAGCACAGTTTTCCCAGAATTCGATGTGTATGTGGGCACATGTACATCTAGCTTAATAGGAGTACAATGGTTTCGGGCTTTTTCTTCCTAAGAGATGGGAAGTACGGAAGAAAAGCTCCCCCGGACAAGACCCTAGTGGAGGTTTTCACGTTTGTACCATCTCCTCTCAAGCACTCCACCCCAACAGACACACACACACACACACACACACACACACACACATACTCCCTCTTTTCCTGACTTTCCATTACTGATGGCAGGATGCCAGGGCTGCCCTCTCCTGCTGAGAGCTGGAATTGCACCTTGTGCCCTGAGCTGGACTGTGGAACCCCTCCCCTCCTGACAGGGTGCAGGAAGCCAACACTTCCCAGGCAGGCTCTAGTGAGCAAAACAGCTGTATTGATTGCCATGAGGCAATTGCATCAATCACTCCAGCTTGGCCCAGGTTAAATATGTACCCAGATGGGGCCTGCATGTGCCAAGCCCTGGGTATTCAAAGATTCTTAACTCATGGGCTCTGCCTTCACCTGCTCCCTCCAGCAGAGGAGACCAGATGTGTAAACTCACTACCCCCTTGACCTCATTATTTCTCTCAAACTATTTGCTTTTCCTTTGGAAAATTTTGTGCTTCAAAAGAGCACCTCTTCTTCCATTTCTCCGAGGTCAGGCCAGAACTGAATCTCCCTTAGCCAAAGGCTAAGACCCTGCAGAAGCCTCATCCAGCTGGGCGGCTGGGTCCATGTTTCCCCAGCCAGCGTTCCATCATTAGGCTCAGTGGATAGAACTGCGTCTCACCCAGCCACTTGGAGATGGCACAGGCCACGTGGGTCACGTGTTGTTGGCCATTTTCCTCTCACTCGGAGTCCTAACTCACTCCCAGGATGCACCTGACCATGAGCTTTTCCGATGTCTTCCAGGGTCGCCATTCTGGATAGGAAACAAAAGATGTTACCAGATTTTTTTAAAAGTCAAATTCAAAGGGAGAGAACAGGTATAAAAATACATAATAAGGTTTTTAAAAATCACATCACAAATGTAAGATACTGTCTTCCTCAAATTTTTCAGGGAGACCAATTTTTAGTCCAAAAGTTGTCCCATCTTTTCCAAAATAAATCTCAGTCAGCTATATTGTATCATGTATCATTTATTTTCACTGGCTGGTAGATTGTTAATTCAGTCATTGCTATTCCTTGTCTCCATTCCTAAAAATAATGTTGCCATTTTCACCACTGATTTCTATGCCTTTTCTCCATTTGTCTGCTCCTTCTCCTATCCTGTACAAATCTTCCAGTTCACCTTTTTAGGGTAAGACAGAAATACACAATTATTTCAAATCACATTCAGAAATCACCTGCACTGGTCATACTAGTCTTTTGGAGTGAGAGGGTGGCTCAGCCGGATAAGCCTCTGACTCTTGGTTTTGGCTCAAGTCATGATCTCAGGGTCATGGGATCAAGCCCCATGCTGGGCTCCAAGCTGGAGATTCCCTCTTCCTCTCTCTCCCACTCTGCCCCTTCCCCCACTTCGGCTCTCTCTCTCTCTTTCTCTAAAAATAAATAAATAGAGGCACCTGGGTGGCACAGTGGGTTAAGCATGGGACTCTTGGTTTCGGCTCAGGTCGTGATCTCAGAGTCATGAGATCGAGCCCCGTGGAGGGCTCCTCACTCAATGCGTACATAGTCTGCTTAAGACTCTCTCGCTCCCTCTCCCTCTGCCCCACCACCCCCACTCACTGTCTCTCTAAAGTAAATCAAACTTCAAATAAATAAAAAAAATTTAAAATTTAAAAATAAATAAATAAAATCACCTGCAGTGGTCACAGCTTTGATCTTACTCAACCATAGAACAAATTCCCTCTTCTCCTTAATTCAGTCAGAAAATAGGTAAAGGTTTTTGAAGTTCACCTGACTTCCTTATGTGATTTCCTGGGCCGACCTCACGCAAGTCCTAGTGAACCAGACACCCTCCTCAGATCATAGGTTCCAAGAAGCTGACATTATGCCATACGCCTTCTTCAGCATGTCTGACTGCCCCATCTATCCCTCACAGGCTCCCACTGCCCTGGCTCCTGTACACCATCATTCACAGGTTCCAACCAGTGGCTGTCAGCAGCAATGGCCTCTTCTGTGCCATCGTCCTCCTCTTCATCATGCTGCTCTTCGTCATTCTCTCTATTGCACTCTGCAAATGGCGGATGAACAAAGTGCTGGGCTTCATCATGTTCGGCCTCTACTTTGTGTTCCTGGTGATCAGTGTCCTCCTAGAAGACAGAATTCTTGTGTGCCCTGTCTCCATCTAGTAGGAAAAGCCATAGCTTGAACTAACAGCATGGATGGCCCCTCCCCGCCCTGGGTTCTAGGCTCCTTGACCGCTCCAGAAGAGGCAGCTAGCACACAGCCATGGGCATTTCAAAGTGTCCCTCCTTGGCGGATTTGAGGATGGATGGATTTACACTGGGCCCACTCATTTCACAGGCTGCTGCCAACCTTGCCTACTGAAACCACTTCATGCAAGAGACCATGCAAGAACCATCCATTTGGGGCTTCTCTCCATTCACCACTGACAGGTACTCCTCGCTGGTCGGAGGTACATTCATTGTAATGATGCAAACAATGACAGAGGCTCTCTCTATGTATACATACAAAATATACAAATTATAAATAGATGCACATGAACACACCCTGCCTGTTCCTGTATTATACCTCTCCTTTCATACCTATAGAGTAATACATACCTGTATACAAACACAAAGAAAAATTTTATATATATATATATATATATATATATAAAATCGTCACACACACACACATATATATATATAAATACAAATGCATCTTTTCAGGGATAGCTCTAGTATATTTATAGCACCTATTTGAAGAGGGGCATCACCCTTCAGTCTGAGCTTTACCTCTTAAGTGCAAGAGGTAAACTAATAGAATCATTGCTGTGACCTTCAGCCTACCTTCGACTTATTGGGATCCTGCCTGGTAAGGTGGGTATTTTAGAGAAATATGTTGCAGGAAGGAGGGCTTGGTGGAGAGGGTCTGTAGGGACCCTAAGCTGAGACCTCCAAAACATTCCCACCAGCCAAACAGTGAAGACTATCTGCCCACCCCCACTGGGGCACACTGACCAAACCCCACGGGGTTATGTGGGACAGACAGAGGTAAAACCCAGACTGGGTGGATATTGCTTTGGGGGACAGGGAAGAGGTGACCAAGGTTGGGGTTTTTTGAAATTTTTTTATATATTGCCCCAGCATGCAAGTAGAAAATATAACTGCAAACCAAATTAGTGCTCTTCTAGGACAACAAGACTATAGAAACTGAACCTATATTGTTCTAATGCATGTCCCATTACCATCCCAAAAAGGGGGGCAAGTCTAGCTGTGATTGTCATTTAGGCGTATTTTGATGCTAAGGGCTCACATATAATCAAAATGCCTGCCAAGAGAGCCTGCAATATGTAATAAGAAATATCATCCAGTAGAGGGGCTCAGTGGAACTTGCCACCTAATGGGAATATAAGGGCGTAGTTCTTTAAAGCATCTTCCAGTGTGGTTCATAAAGGGCTTCAGTGCCTATGGAAATCATTATTCCACCAATAGAACTAAACTGATTCTGATCAATACTGCTTGTATTGAGGCAGCTTAGAGATGTTTGGAAAGGCATTTCTACACTCAGCGCACCCGGGAAGGTTTCTGAGTCCTCCTCCCGTGGTGCCAGGACCAGGATTTGGTTAAAGCCTGTGCAAAATCTGTGTCTCTCCTTCCATCAGGACCCCATGTGGGACTCTTTCGAGCGTTGAGTCCACTGAAGACGTCTTCACGCTTGCCCCAAGCCAGTCACTCCAAGGTTTTGACCTCCTGATTTTGCTCCGCATTCATGTGACATTTTCATTTCATTCATTCCCCCAAACTCTGCTTGACACCTTGTATGATTTCTCAGGTCTATGTCCATAGAAAATAAAACCTTGGGGGGGGGGAGGTGGGGGGGGGGGTTGGAGAAGACAAACTAAATTGATGAAAAAAAAATAGAGTTTTTCATTCGCCCAAGTCACGCTTTCCTTCCAGTCAGTTGCAAAAGTAAACAGAGGATGGCCCATTATTCTGCACCCATCTTCCATCCAAGGTGGCACACGCCACCTATGGGGAACTATACGAGATGTCTCCAGTCTATTCTATCCCTGATGCCTCCTGTGATTGGGTTGTGGGCACGTACCTCCTAACGTGGGGAGACAGGAGGCGCAACTCACAATTAAATAGAGAGGAAGGGAGACCTGACAGCCCCAGATCAAGCCCAGTATTCCTTCCAGAAAAGCCCAGCTCCGTCCACAGAGCACGGCAGTACCAGGCAGTGCGCATCACCCGCCAGCAGACGGCGCTCCTGAGTGGAGGCTCCCTGGGAGAACAAGAAAGCAAGATGGCCGCCCCGCAGGAGGCGGGCCTTCGAGTCTCTCCCGCTTTGCAAAGTCGGGTGGTCGCCTGTGTGAGAAAAGCGCGCATCTTCATCAAGGGCAGGGTGTTGTATTGAGGCAAGAATCTGTGCTACTTCCTTAGAGGGAAAGAGAATGGGTAAGTGAACTTTTGGTCAAAACCTCGGGTGGTTTTCCCCGCGCTTTACTCAAAGGGGAGCAAACTGGGTTACTGCGTGCGTGTGTGTTATTGGCTGGTCTGTTACTTGAAGGAAGGTTTGAATAGGTGACTTTAACGCAGCTGCAGATAAACTACGTGAAACCAAAAAGGATGCGGGAGGCCCACGGTAGCCCCGTCTTGTCCCAGCACGTGCTGATGCTTCCCCGCCCCCGCACTCCTTCCCAGTCCTTCCCGGCTCACGGTGAAGACCCAGCCCAGCGGCCACGGAGCATTTTACGTGCCTTAGAAGCTCCACGTCACACGAAATGCTGTGCTTGTTAATGAAAAGTTGCGCTTGAGGAGACAGGATTTAGGAGCCCATTCCCGCCGCTGTGAGGAGCACTGAGCACGATGTGCAACAGCCGTGTTCCCCGGCTGGCTGGTATGCAGGCCCCTTGCCCTGCCACTGCTGTCCTCGGGATGTGTCTGTGAGGTCACGTGTTGGGCTAGGCCAAGTCCCGAGAGCAGTGTAGAGAATGCAACAGTGGATCTTGAAACGCATTCAAATCATTAGCATAATTGTAAGAAAGAACTTTCCTGAGCAGGTCATCTCTAGCGCTTTCCCTGCATGCCTGTGTATATACATATATAAATATATCCTTATACCGGATCTGTAGGTACACCCGCTTACATCATCACCCTTTGACCTGTCACCTTCAGGATTCAAAAGCAGGGCACATCAAGTCTGCCATAATGAGGGAGAAGAAAAGTCACGCACACCACCAGCCCAAGGGAACATCATCTCCTCCTGACCTCGTAAGGTTTGTTCTGGGCACATGTACGTACAAACCTGCACAGTAGGCCCCCATCCTATATACTTTCCCACACCGAGAGGGGAGATACAGCCTATGGAAATGGCCAGCCATAGCCCCAGTGCTGACGTACAGGCAAAGAATGCACAACGGAAAAGCTTAGACGGCAGATACTCTTTGCTTTCTTGTAGCAGGGTGTATAAATATCAAAAATTCTAGAACCACCTCCTTGCTTCTCAATCTAAAACAAACAGGCCGTGCCCAGATGGTTCCAGTCAGCCACGGCAAACCAAGCAGGTCTTGCTTGCCGTCACCTCCCCTGTCGCCCTAGGCAGCCTCCGCACAGGAGAGCAACCTGGCTCAAACCAAGAATGCCCGAACAGAACCTTCTCAGTTGCATCCGGAAATGCCTTTGCTGGGTCCAGCTGCCTTCTGAACCCGACTAGTGCCTGAAGCATTGAAGCTGGAGATGAGATGGATGGCACCTATGCATTCTCCCAGGACCTAAGCTGAGGCCCGCAGTGACCGATCAGGAAGCCACAGTACACGTGCACAGACCTGTTTATCGATTTGGCAGATGCGGCAGAATATCCTAAAGCCTTGCCCAGAAGATTATAAAAAGAGGCAGGCACTGATTCATAGGGAAAATGCTTTGTAAGGCTTCTAACAGGTGCTACCTGACAGGGGCCATTATAATTTATTTTCTAGGAAAGACATGAATCAGGTGGTTTGGAGGCCTTTCAGCAAAACACAGCTGCTTCTCTGATGAGACATTTGATAATATTAATGTACATCCCTTCCTGGGCAGGGAGAAAGTTGGCAAACTCCCCACCGACGCTCACAGCTCTTAAACTCCTCCGTAACAGGGAGATGGGCAATGAGCCGTAGAGGGAAGCTCCCCCCGCCCCAGACCACCTTAACAGAAAGCTGACCAAGCAAATGACAACAGCTAGAGATGCTGGCCAGAGACTCAGTTGAGGAAGAGGGGACTTCTGCTCAGTGCTCGGCTGAGATTGCTGGGTTGAGATTGCTGGGTTGGAATATGTGACAGGAGTCTGATGACCTATCTGAATACAAGCATTTCGGGAAACGTCAGTATGCTTTCTTCCCTGCACCTGCCGACACACACACACACACACACACACACACACACACACAAGATTACGAGGATGCCATGCTTCCTTGCACCCGGACAGATTGTTACTCCAGTGATTAAGTGGCCGTATTAGAAGTGGCAGCTCTATTCCAGAAAAAATAAAGGGAAACTGTCCTCAGGGTGATTTCTGGGGAAATCAGCAGTCTCCTGAAGGCTTGATATAGAAGCTAATGCTCATTCTTGCTAAGCCAGATCTCACATAACCACCTGGCTTAATATTTTTAAAAAGACACATCCTCGACTCCTAAACCTCCCTCAGCAATATTTTCTTTAATTAGTAAGTAAGGGCTTTGCCATTAAAAGAGAATTAGTGGGGGAAAAAATGAAGCATAAGGAAAAGGAAGAAAGGAAAAATGTATTTACTTTTACAGCGATTGCCAAGAAAACAAGTGTCACAGTGATATATATCCCCACATAGTTTAAAATAATTACAAATGTCAGGCTTTTTCAACCAATTATAAGAACCTGCATAGTCCCAGATAAAAGTATCTTCCCTTCTCTAGAAGGCCTTGGGACGGAAAGGTCATATGCCCCTGCCCCGCTATTTCAGCTTAGCTCGTTGCCTCTCTCTTTGTGTATCTTTAATTTCACAGTCTTTAAACTATGTAACAAACAAGAAAAGCAATAAAGGACATGCTCACCACTCTGTTACTTATCATTACAGCATTGCAATGTTTTGGTTTGGGTTTTTTGGGTTTTGTTTTTTTCACTTCAGTGGGAGCTTTGAAACTGCACAGGTTATGGCATGTGATCGCCGGGAGAATTCAAGCATCTGTAGGAAGCAGGGGTGCACTTGTGTTTGGTATGGAAGTGATGCATCTTTCCACCTGGCCGCCTCCCTCCAAACAATGTCTGTGCTGCTGTTTTCCATGCCTTCCGTACCCCCCGGGGTGCCAGCCTTGCTCAGAACCACCCGAATTCCACAGTGGTCTTTCATCTGACTGGTGAAGGTGTCCTTTAAAAACAGCAAGAGAGAGCTAAAAATGATAAAATGAATCCACAAGTCAGCCAGTTTCTTTAGAGACAAAAATGACCCTGTACTTACAGCTGGAGAGACATCTCTGTTCAAATTAGTGTACAAGGGAAACTGCATAGAACACTAAATTAAGCCAGAGCACTTTCACTAAATGATTGATTGACAGACTGGAAAACCTTAAAGAATTAAAAACAAAACAACAACAACAACAACAACAAAACAACAGATAACTACCTGTCTGGAAGAGTGCCATGGAATCTTCATTGAGTTTGCCAAAGGTTTAATTCTGTTAAGACAGTTCGTCCAACCTATCACCCTCATCAAAAGGACAGTTCTTTTGTAGGAGACAGGTCCTGGCGTAGATGTTCCTGGTGGAAACAGGTTTCATCAACTATTAACATTAACAACCAGAAGGTTAACCCTAGCCCAACAAGTTGATGACTCCACCTATGTCTTTTTGGGGGACAAAAAAGAACTGAGTCTGGACGCTCTTCACAGGTACCCCTGACACACTTGGGAGCCGCCACTGTGTGACCCTTTATCTGTTTTCATCAAAAGTGTCTTTAGAGTTTTATTTCAGAATCCTTTTTTCCTCACCATCTTGATTTTTATAGTTCTCTACTCACCCTTTTTAAATGCTTTAGGTTGCTCCTGGATTATAGAACCTTATGACTAATCATGACACAAGTTGGTTCTCAACAGGGCTAACTTAACCGTCGCAAACCTAATGCTTTGCTCCCTTATTCTGCACCCCTCTGTTGCTCTTACTTTTAGAAAGTCACATTTCATTGCTAATTCACATTCATCTTCTGTTCCCTGTCACTTTGCTATCTCTTCTCCAAGACACTGAGCTGAAGCTGGTGTGTTTCTCAGCCTGCCCCAGTGCATTTGGTTAGCCATTTTTCCTACTATGAGCCACTCTCCACTTGGCCTTTTTGAGTCTCAGTCTGTTTATTTCTAATGCCATTTCCAGTTTTCAAGTCCAGGTTGGACTCAGCGCTCACTCCCCATCGAGATTCTTCCCACCAGTCCCCAGTTTGCTTGCACTTGGCAAGTCCAATGAGCATTTTCTGCACCCCCTCATTAATGTGAATATTCAAAAATGCTGGGCCCCTGCCCCCAACAATTTCTGTTTCGTGCCATTGGCAATTTCTTAGGGGAAAAAATCCCTCCTGATTGCTCCTACGGTGCGAACAGAATTCACAACCCTAAGAGAGTACAGTCACAGAAATACCTTCTGAGCACCAGTAGGCCTTGATACAACAGAACTGACAGTGGAGAAAAGTATGAACACGGGGTGTAGCATGATCATGAGGCCCGGGGAGGGAGGTCAAGCTCATGAGCTTCATTTTTAAGGTCATAATTCGACACTCGCAAAGAACTGTAAGTGGGGGAGACACCACTGGAAATCATTCAGATGCTCTACCTGCTTTGATTTACCAAAAGGAATTCGTATTTTCACTC